AACGCTACCGACCGACCGATAGCTGCTACCTTGACGTGGTGGTCGGGCTTGCATATCACAATGACCCAACGAGCTATGCTGGTGGAACGCTTGTTCCCTCGAGGTCCTACCATACCAGAAAGGTCTGTTGGGTAGTGGTTAGACGAAAAGCAGTTACCGTTATAGTGTAAATTGCTACACTATGATGGGGGTCTGAGGGCGAAGTCGTACTGCTGCTAGCTGGATGGGGTGTGACAGCAGTAAGGTGTTTCCCTTGGATGACCAGCAGTGCCAAGCTGATGCTGCCTTCTCAGTGGAAGGGGGGGTTAGAAAAGGTCGGCCCCAAAAATAACACACTCCACCACGCCCCACGGTCTGCCGGGCCGGCGGTGTTGGTTCACTTGTCGTTTCCTTTCGATCATCCGGCCCCAAAAATACAAAAATTCAAAATAATCATACTCAAAAGGCTGGGTGTGACAGGCCTCAAGCAGATGTCCGATGGGCTCTGCGGTCACACAAATCTCTTTCAGGTACCTTAAGAAGAAATAGCCTTCCACGGTGTGGGCAGCCGGGAAGTGTCAACCGCCCTCACAACTCTGTCAGCACCCAAGTTTCTTCTGACTGCTATCCTCCTCCTCCATCATTACCTTCTAATCTTCCTTCACGTCTCTTAATTAATGATGCTGCATCATCTTCAATTTCTCCTACCTCTGCAGCCTTCGACAACGATCTGAGTCCACAGAACAGCATCCCTGGTCTCCTTAAACCACGCTCCAAATTACATATTGGAGCCTTCAATGTCCGCACCCTCCGTCAAATTGGCCAACAGGCTTCGTTGGCAAAGACTCTAGCAACTCGGGCATGGATGTGTGCTGTGTTTGTGAGACACGCATACAGGACCCAAGTGTGGTTATTCACCTGACCTCTCCTGACCAATCTGGTGAATCTGCAAAATTCACCCTTCGAGTTTCTGGAGATTCGATAGCTAGCTCTCGTGGTCTTGCAGGTGTAGGTATAGCATTAAGCACCAGGGCAGAAAACTCACTACTAGACTGGATCCCAGTTGATAGTCGCCTCTGCGCTATGAGGCTGAACGGCACAGTGAGAACTAAAAGGAATAGTGAGACTCGCCGTTGTCTCTTTGTAATCTCTGCTTACGCACCCACTGACTGTAGTTCGGATGAAGTGAAGGACGAGTTCTACCATAAACTGTCTAACCTCCTCTCGAAAGCCAAACGTTCGGACGTAGTGGTTGTTGCAGGTGACCTCAACGCACAGGTGGGTAGACTGAGTGAGGCAGAAAGGCACTTAGGTGGCACTTTCGGAATCCCAGCTGAACGTACAGATAACGGTGATCGCCTATTACAACTATGCTCAGATAACCGCCTATTTTTAGCCAGCACAAATTTCAGACATAAAGAAAGGCACTGTCTGACCTGGCGTCCACCGAGCTCGACTCAGCGATGGACACAGATAGACCACATTGCTATTAGTCATCGCTGGAGAGGATCGGTGGAAGACTGCCGCTCCTTCTGGAGTACGTGTTTGGACAGCGATCATGCGTTGGTCCGAGCACGTATATGCCTGCGTCTCAATGGACGTAGAAAAAATTTGGCAACAAAACCACTACGAGTTCTGCTGGACAACGAAAACACCAAAGCCGTGTTCAGTGAGAAGTTGGCTAGGCAGTTATCGGAACAAAAGACTGTCACTCATCCAGAAGAAGCTTGGTGCCATCTTCAGTCTACTGTAAAAGCAGCACTGGAGACTGTAGCCGACTCCAAGATAATGGCTAAAAAGAGCCAGTGGATATCAGCAGCTTCTTCCAAACTAATGGATGCACGTGAATGCATCCCTGCAGGCTCTGAGTACAATGAAGAGCGAGCGCAACTTAAAAATAAACTGACGAAAAGTCTGCGCAACGATCGTGAACAGTGGTGGGCAGCAAAGGCTAAAGAGATGGAAAAGGCAGCGGCGATCGGTAACAGTAGACAGTTATTTAGACTTATTAAGGAGACTGGGGGGAAATGGTCAACAACAGTTAGTGAGGTTATAGCGGAGAAGGACGGATCGGCGATTCACTCGCAGGGAAGGCGACTGGGACGATGGGCAGAACACTTTGAGGAACAGTTTAACTGGCCTCCAGCCACCATTGCGCTGCCCGCTATCCAGTCGGACCCTGAATGGGACATAGAGACAGGTCCCCCAACACTAGAAGAAGTTGAGAAAGCGGTAGGTAGCCTGAAACGGGGAAGGGCAGCAGGACCAGACGGACTACCTGCTGAGGTATACAAGAATGGTGGTAGAGTTCTCTTAGTCAGGCTAACGGAAGTGTTAGCCAGTATATGGGAATCAAATACGATCCCCTCCGACTGGTCTAAGTCACTGATCATCCCAGTCTTCAAGAAAGGCGAGAAGTCCTCTTGTGATAACCACAGAGGAATCAGCCTGACAAACATAGTGTCTAAGATCCTAAGTTCTATAATTCTCCGACGCCTGAGTGGAGCTCGGGAACAGCAAGCCCGAGAAAACCAGGCAGGCTTTAGACCTGGCCGTGGATGTATCGACCAAATATTCACACTGCGCCAGGTCCTGGAACATAGGCATGCTTACAGACGCCCGACAATAGCTGTATTTCTCGACCTGAAGGCGGCATTTGACTCCGTTGATCGAGAAGTCTTATGGCAGTGTCTGTCACTGAAAGGCGTGCCTAGTAAGTACATCACCTTATTGAAAGCTCTCTACTCGAACACTTGTGGGCATGTTAGAGCCTATGGTGAGTTGTCCAGGGAGCTATACTCATCAAGTGGTGTCCGTCAAGGATGCCCACTATCCCCATTCTTATTTAATTTTATCATAGATATTCTTATGGAGGTTTCCCTCTCGTCACCTAATTACAAAGACGTTGACCGATCACAGGTGAATTTTCCTTAGATCTAGAATATGCAGATGACATAGTCCTGTTAGGTGAAGACGCTGACAAGATGCAGAGTCTTCTGAACACTTTGAGTGGGAATTTGAGAATGTTTGGGATGCGATTTTCACCACCCAAATGCAAATTTTTGCTCCAGGACTGGTCTTCAGCGGTACCGCGGTTAACAATAGAGAGTGAAGTGGTTGAGTGTGTTGACCACTTCACTTACCTGGGAAGTAGGATCAACCCGGTGGGTTAGTTGCCGATGAGATTTCTGCACGGATACAAAAGGCTCGATTGGCTTTTGCCAATTTGCGCCACCTATGGCGCCGCCGTGATATTCGTTTGTCTATTAAGGGTCGCGTGTACTGCACAGCAGTCCGCTCTGTTCTACTGTATGGCTGTGAAACATGGCCATTGAAAGTGGAAGACACAAAAAGGTTCAGGTGTTTGACCACCGTTGCCTTCGTAGTATAGGACGTATTCCGTGGTGTCACCATGTGAGTAATGCAGAAGTTAGGTGTAGAGTTTTAGGGAGAAGAGGTAAGTCAGTCGACGAGGTTGTGAACCTTCATCGACTGAGATGGTTGGGACACGTACTACGTATGCCTAGTCACCGATTGCCTCGTCACACAATGTTGGCTGAGGTGGGTTCAGGCTGGAAAAAGGCCCGAGGTGGCCAGACTAAAACATGGCACCAATGTATGAAGTCTCTGACTGTTGGTTTAAGCCATGTAGGACGATGCAGACTAGGTGGTTGGGGTCCACGGGACAAGAGGAACCAGTGGTTGGAGACCCTAGGTGATATGGCTCAGAACCGAAGTCAGTGGCGCAGATGTATACACACATTATCCTCATCTTAACAACGCTATACCGAATCTCACTATTTTGTCACTCCTCTTTCCTTTCTTCTCGTACTTTATATTTCTTTTGACTGCATTCACTTATCTTCATCCTTCACCTCACTACCTTTTTACTTGATGTGCTGATATGAGGTGTGGCAACTCGGACCGTTACGCAGTAATGCCTGGTCCTATGTTGATAATGATGATGATGATGAGCAACGCTACGAAGACACCTATGATAAAAACCATGTAATCACTTCATGTCTTCCATTTTCAACAGCCACGTTTCACAGTTGTACAACAGGACAGAACGAACTGTAGTGCAGTATACGTGTCCTTTGGCAGATAGTCGGGTATCTCGCCAGTCTACGCCATAGACGACGCAAGTTGGCAAATACCATACGGGACTTCGGTATTTCAGCTGACGTAACACGTGTAATGGGAATCGTTCAACATCAGTTGTGGAACTACTATCAGTGAAACCAAATGAAAGTTGCAGGACCACCTTGATGTGATTATGAGCGATATATTATCCTTGTGACGTTATCAAGTATCACTATATGCTATATCAAATAAACAATCTAATATGAAATTATACTCTACCATAGTGTCCAAGTTCTATACTTACACTGAAGTAAAAAATACTATCTGATCGGTGTCTGTGACACAGTACTTAATAATCGAAAGCCTACGACGTATCCTTCACTGTCTAAGATAAGCGCTTCAACTTGGTAAGTGATCTACCATTATTAATCGCAGCAGTAAACAGTTGTGAGGCTTAGAAATATGGATATTTGGCTTCCTACTGTCGAAACCTTGATTTACATCCACTACATTCACTTCTTTCTAAGCAGGTAGGAAGTAGTAACATTTTGACTCGATATATAGTCTGTTACATGGAATATTTTTGGCCTCATTAGTCGTCATTGTGTCATATATATATATATATATATATATATATATATATATATATATATATATATATATATATTGAAGTTGAGATTTCATTTTTAAGGTAGTATTCATCTTATAGAAAACCTGGATGTACTGGACAGCTGTTTCATCCAAGTATGAAACTCCTCAGTAGTACGCACTCACGACCCAGCTGGGAATCGGACTCAAGACGTTCAGACTTTACGACCCAGTGGCTGAATGATTAAAGCGTTCGCCATGAAATCTGAAGTATCCTCCAGATAATGTCAACCAAATGCAGTAAAATCAAAAAAAAGAAAAAAAATTAAAGAGAAATCTAGTACTCTCACCTTTGGTACACCGTAATAAAACAGATTCCATATTTTCATCTTCTAGTTTCGAATAGGGATTCACTCGAGGTGCAGGATCGAATGCAACTAAGACCATACTCATGTTATCAGAACTACCCTAAATAAAAGGAAATAAAATATACAAAAGTTATATGTAACCTGTTTGAAATATTAACTTGAAATACTGATAAAATCTTTTATTCCTTAGTGGCTTGTATTTCAGTCTATATTATCTGAGAAACATTCAGGAATGGAAAAATCTGTGCGGGCTTTTCAGGCTCAAAATTAGCGCTCTTTCATAGTAAAAAAAAATAGGCATAACTCTTGAATTTCATTTCAAACTTGAAGGTTTCATTGAAAATTTATTTGCCCAAAGATAATAGAATTTAGTGTCAGCAGTTAGTTTTATGAATTTACCAGAGATTTCTTCATGGCCAAACATAGAAGTGCTATTTTCCTAGGAAACGTTGTCAATATTAAAACAAAAGACAGTGTAATGAGAGATGTGGAGCTGTGGTTCAATGGCCAGTGGAGATGACTTTCAACCAATGAGTCACGGGCTTGAACTCCAGTCCACCTACTGAGGTTTAGGCAGCCAGGTAGTATCAACAGTCTTGTGATGCAGTTCGCTCTGTTTTACTGGATGACCGTGAAATATGGAGAAATGAAGGTGGAGGACATAAAAAGGCTTCTAGTATTTGATTACCGTTACCTTCGTAGCACATGTCGTGCGTCGTGGTGTCACTACATTAACAACGCACATGTCAGGTGGAGAATTTTCAGGGAGGAGAAGAAAGACAGTTGATGTAGTTGTTAACTTACATCGACTAAAATGGCTGAAACTTGTGTTACTCATGCTTAATCACCATTTGCCCCATCGAGCAATCTTACCCGAACTAGGTTCAGGCTAGAAAAAGGCTCGGTCAGGACAGACTAGAACATGGCATCCCTGTATCAAAGCCTTGACTGTTCATTTGAGCCATGTTGGGAGATGCAGACTAGCCAGTTGCGATCCATATGACAACAGAAACCATACACTGCTGCGGAGTTTCATACTACGATGAAACAGCTGTCCAGTGCTCAGAGGTTTCGAATGACCTTTTAACTAACGTCAGTCCATGAGAATTCCAACCTAAAATCAATTATTAAATTCCCCCACAAACCTTCGGATATAATTAATCTAGTGCTCATTGGTGACTAGCTTTGGAAAGTGATTCCTGAAGTTTCAATGCGAAGTCATGACCAGTGGAGCCAAGCAAATCGAACATGAGGAGAGGTACTCACAGACGCCAGTAGATATAGGTCGCTCTTTATCATAAACTGATAGAAGTAGGAAATATGGACCAATGCACTTCGACCCAGCGGCCCAATGGTAACGTGCTGGCCACGGAACCTAAAGGTGAGCACTGCTGACGAACCCCATACTAGGACGAAACAGCTGCTCCCAGGTTTCCAATATTCCTCCAACTGATGACAATCTATGATGAGTTCCAACCCAGAAAAAGTGACGATCAAAGTAGAAAAAGGTGAATAGGAGGAAAAGGATTTTGAAAATCAAGGTTAGTGAAAATATTGAAGCACATCAGTGAATGAATATATGTGCCTAACCTCTACACTCCTCATATGACGTGATTCCACAATACAACACACCGATGACCAAAATGGCCATACCTCACAGACATATAACGGAGAAGAACGGACTGCAGCGCAGTATGTTCACACTTTAATAGGTGGTCAGACATCCCCCAGTGCCAGAGATGTGTACAAGTTGGCAAATATCGAATAAGGCTTATGTATGCGAGCTGAGATTTTGTCAGCGATCAACCCGTTCGGGCTGACGCAACTCACCAAGTAATTAATGTGGTTGGTTGACAAACTCTACCCCTCCACTCACCATCAATGTTAGTATAGAATCATGAGTGATTTATTTCAGTGGCTTTTAACAATAAATAACCAACCAACTTCTAACATTTACCAAGAGTACTGTTCTTCAAAGTTGAACACAAAATATTAGGAATTGTTATTTCCCGTTGATAGAATACATCAGCTTCTACCGGTACATGGATTCGTGTGCATATGTCTTATTGTAAAACGAGTGGTCTCATTTCGATAAAGGAGATGAATAGTGGCTGTCAGTGTAATCCATAGTGCGCATTTTCATCACTGAGACCCACGAACGCACATCCAACTAACGAGTCTTAAATAGTGCGAAACACGCGTCCTGCACTCCACTACTAGCCACTATCCATCCTCAACCGTCAAACAATAAAGTTTACAATTTCCTTCTGTGTGATCATTTCATAAATTTCAAGAGAGAGTCTAACCGGGGTGCCGATTTCACTGACCAGGTTGATAAGGTGAGATTGCTTCTTTCCCAGTATAACACCTTCGATATCTTTCTTACTTCGCTGTTATGTATCATATGTCACACCTTTTATTTCGGTCACTAATCATCAGTTTGCTTTTGAATGAATACTCTTCAAAGTGTTACAAATTAACTGATATATTTATAAATCAAGGTATGCCTTGAATCAGTTATCATTTGTACAAAGTGTGCGTGAAGAATATTAGCTACTTACTGATCCCTTACCAGTTCAAGGTCACGGAATGCAGTGAGCTGTAGAGCTATTAAGCAATCCAAAAGAACTTGTACATATAACTTAGACTGAAACATTAATTTAGGTGCAACAACATAGAAATGAACAATTTTTTGACAACGACTAGAAAAGTCTATCGGAAAGACTTATTGAGCTGCTAAAACTTATGCTCTTCAGCACCACCAAACGCATGCTGCAACAATCATTGAAAGATAGCGTTCAGATCCTCAACACATCTAAATGCATATATTGATTCGCATGTATCAGTGGAATCAAATAAATTGATGGTACGGAGAAGCATCCAACAGATATTTCGAAAACTCGAATAATTTTAACTGATATAGTAAAAGGAAGGAAAAGACTAGCTTATTTCTCTTTCCAATTATGTTGGAAGATGTGATATAGTAAAATACTGGACCGCTGTATTCAGTCAGCTTTAGTCGATTACATTAGAAGTGAACGCGCACTATTCAGATGTATATGCACATTGTTTTGAAATGTAGTCAATGCGATAGCAAGGGTAGTAGATACTGCTAATATTACTTCGAAGAAATATGCTGACTACTTAAGAAGATAGGTTTCAAAATCCATATCATCCCTAAGGCAAAAAATGCCGAATATTTTCACATCCGATTACTTTCCAGTCACAACACATAGAGTTCGCTGAAAAGTACACACACGGTTAGTACAGCGAAAAAAGTTGGAAACTGTTCATCAGTTTTTACGCACCTTTCAGCTAGAGTTCCATACAAAGAGGAGAAAATGCTGACTATGATGAACATCGGGATTTGACACTACCACAGTACCACCAATCGGAAAGTGAAGTAGTGATGAACAATCTTCCAGTTAATCGATAAGTTGCACTCTTACTTAACTCTGCCCGATTTATACTGCAATAACGAAACCTCAGTCAGCAAAAGCATGAACATTTTGGTGTCCTTCATTCATAGGACAATTAGGTAAAATCTTCAGCAAATTAAGGGGTGAGACCAGATTAGTAACTCAGTATGTTCATATAGACTGTACACAATCGACTAAGTAACTCTGAGGAAAATGTTTAGAATTTGAGATAAAGCTTACGCTTTCTACCAACTTGCAGGATACTATAGTCTGCATGCAACTCAAACGTAAATTGATCAAGTCTTCGCGTCGATCAAGAACAGTGGTTGGTGACGAAAGCAATAGAGAAGGAGAGGGCATCAGCGTTTGATTAAACCGAGGGGTTGTTTAGGCTTGATAAGCATATCGAAAAAAAGAAGACAACAGTGAGTGAAACCATCACCGAGAAGGATGGGATGTTGATAACCTCTCACGACAGGTGGCTACCACCTTAGATAGAACACTATGAAGCACAATTTAAATGGCCAACAGCAACACTTCACAGTTCCCTAACATCCAGCTTCAACCTCAATCCGATGTACATGTCGGTACTCCAACTCTCCCCCTGAAGCTCACAACGCTGTATCGAACCTGAAATGATCCAAACCAACAAGAATTCACATTTTACCATCTGATGTTTTCAAGGATACGGACAGGAAATCGGTCATTAGAATGACGCAGTAACTAGACAGTCTATGCGAATATAAGAGGTAGTGCCGTCAGACTGCTCTACTTCACTCACCATTCCAGTCTATAAGAAGGGAGAGAAGTCTCCCCATGACAACCATAAGGGAATCAACCTCACTAATATTGTGTCCACAATCCTAAACTCCATAGTTATCCCACCCCTAACTAGATAGAGCCCAAGAACAGTCAACGCTACAAAACCACGCAAGTTTTAAATCTAGTCAACGGTCCACCGATCACAGTTCCACCCTACAACAGCTTCTGGAACACAGGCATACATACCAATCAACGGTCGACACTTGCCGCCATATTTCTTGACCTGAACGTGGCATTTCACTCTGTAGACTGTGAAGTATTGTGACACTGTCTAACAGTCAAAGGAGTACCGACTAACAATATAACGCTAACCACAGCTCTCTACTCGAACTCATGCAGCTGTGCAAGGGCTTATGCAGAGTTGTCAACTGAGTTGACAACAACTAGTGGTGTCCGACAGGGATGTGAACTGTCATCGTTCCTATTTAACTCCGTTATAAACGTAATGATGGACATATCCCTGGTTACGTCTGATTTCACAGGGATTGACCTACTGCTCCCTGGAGGTCGTCTAGTTGACTTAGAATATGCAGATGATATCGTCTTACTAGGTAAAGATGCTGATGTAATGCAGGGTCTTCTGAACATACTGAGCAAAATTCAGAGTGTTTGGCATGCGTGTCGCGCCTGTCGAATATCAAATGATGCTCCGGGACTGGTATGCAACGTCTCCCTGCTTAATGATAGAGAGTGAAGTGGTGGAATGTGTTGAGTTGCGTCAGCCCGAACAGTTTGGTTGCCGGCGAAATCTCAGCCTGTATACAGAAGGCCCGTTCGGTATTTCCCAACTCGCGTCACTTGCGGCGTCGTCGAGAGACCCGACTATTTATCGAAGGACGGGCATGCTGAACTGCAGTTCGTCCGCTCCTGTTGTACGGCTGTGAGACAAGACCATTAAAGGAAAAAGACATGAAACGGTTACAGGTGTTTCATCATAGATGTCTTTGTATCATTGTTCGCGTTTGGTGGAATCACCGTGTAAGTAATGCAGAGGTCAGATGAAGGGTACTAGGCAAGATAGGCAAGTCGAATAACGAGGTTGTGAACGTTATTCGACTAAGGACGCTTGGATATGCAATGCGCATGCTGTGTCATTGCCTATGGCAATATGCCGTGTTAAGAGAAGTGGGATTAGGTTGTAATAGGGTTGAGGGTGGCAAGACCAAGAAATGAAGGCAGTTCATGAAATCCTTGACCGTTGGTCTTAACTTTATTGACAGATGTAGACCATTTGGCTGGGGTTCCAGAGACGAGAGGAATCAGTGGCTGATGACTCTTAGTGAAACGGCTGGAAATCGGTACCACATCCTCTAAAGCTGGAATATTCGCACTAATTTTTGTCTTTAAATTGTGTATTTTGTGATACTATTCCCACTTTTCTATTACTTTTATTCTATCCACATATCTTTGTATACTAAAGTGAAATGTGTCAACTTGAGCCGACACACCTTTATAGGAGGTTCTACGTTGATTCTGTCTGTTTGACTGTAGTCTGTCAGTCAGCGCTATCATCATAGGCAATCTGAGTGTCAATTTAACACAACTGCTACAATACTGGAAAAAAAGCCACACATAATGGTTAGATACATTCATTCAAAAGAGTATCTGTGCAGAAAGTTTGGTTTTAGCCTTAAAGGATTATTTCATACAATCAAGAGATATCCAGTATTCATCAATCGTATAGAAACCATAGAATATTTAGGCTGATGATAAGAAACTGAAGACTGCTGTGTCATTTTCGGATAAATGACTAAAACTGAAAAGAAGCAACAATCTAAATAAAGGATAATCCTTTCAATAATTAGTCATCAAATTCTAAAATCATAAAATGCATTTGTACAGCGTAAAACCAAGTCAAGTTTGACGTAAATACATTTCCGAAGTAGGATGAAATTTAGAAACTGTAAGGGAATCGATTTTTCTTTCTTGAATTCCTCAGCATACATATGAATGAAAAGACAACGAATAAAGAAGATAGGAGTGGCCTTTGGTCTACTGAACGTCAAGGGAAGAATAACGCTTGAAGATGTCCTTTCTGAATGCAAATTTCAGACTTGGTCAACCTTATTGAGACAGCGGGCGCTGACTATCTATACGTGTTGTTTTTGGAATACGATGAATGATATTGAAAGGTTTATTAGCATCTATGTGATGTCATGTGTCAAGTAAGTCCATTAAGACGGTACTTTTCACCACTTTCACTTCGTCTTTTCCAAACCACGATGTTAAACGTTCTCATTCCAGGAGAAGCATCTGTCTAATCACATGCTCTATTTAACTTGTCCTAAAGGAACAGTCCAAGATGAAAAGCTATGAGTAGGTAGGCTATCCCTTAGTTTCGGATTAAGCACTGGCCGACTACTGAGAAGCACATTTTGTTACACATACCCGATTTACAGACGAGTACATTGTGGAGAAATAAAATACGCAACCAGTAAGTGAGAACTAACACCTCACAATACCACCTGATAGCTTTAAAAAAAAGTAATGAATCACTTACTTTATACAAACACATATCAATAGTTTCATTACATATCATTGACAAATCTTCAACACATCGCATACGATCTTGTAATAATGAACAAAGTTCTTCATTGGTTAACACATCCCAAATACCATCACATGCCAAGACAATAATCTCATCTAAATCCTTATCACGATCGACAACAGTGATTTCAGGCTCTGGAGATATCAACTGTTCTGTAGGACCTAAATCTTTTGCTGCCTTAAATGCATAATCCCCTAATGATCTGAAAAAAAGAGGTGAGAATTACACCGATGATGTACAGAGTTGCAGACAAAAACAAGCAATATCAAAAAGACAATTTTCAATAAAAGAATAACCTCAAGAACGTTTCAAAAGCTTATTTGACAATCACCAAGGTCATTGGCAAGATAATTCTTCATCTGAACATATTTGTAATATCATTATCCCCTCTAATAAAAATACAATTACTATATTACAGTTCGATAACCCCAGTAGTGGGGCTATGAAGTCATATTTACTGGTTAGACGAGTTTAAACCTACGTGTTGCCTCATAGATAGCTGCAGTATAGAAAAATAATACAGTAAACTGTTTCCATCAATGTTAGCTCAAGTAAAGTCCAAGGTGGAAGAAATTTAGAGGCTGCTGAACTAAAACATGGCATCAGTCCTCCATGAAGCATTGACTGTTGGTCTGATACAAGAAGAGAATGCATACTTTCCGGTTGAGGTATCCATATGACATCCAGAAACGATCTCGTTGGTACACATGTATAATCCACACATGATCTTAATCGTCTTCCCAGTGGTTTAGGGAAATGACTGTCAACCAGTGGGCCCCGGGTTAGAACCCCGCTCCACCTACTGAGGTTTGGGCGGTCAGTTAGTATCAGTAAACCTCACACAAGAAGCGTGGCTCATCGCCTACTGCATGGATGTGCACATGGTGGCTAAGTGAGTTCCACCCAGTCACTCTGCTGAATCTCATGATTGTTTACTTTCTTCTTGTTCTCAGGTTAATATTCATCATGGACTGATATCAGCTGAAGAAACATTGGACATCTGGGAGTACTGGTCAGGTGTTTCGTCTCATTATGGCACTCCTCAGCAGTGCATGCCCATGAGCGCGAAAGGGGTCGAACCCAGGACTTCCAGGTTCCGGTTTTGCTCAGTTTTTTGTTTTTAAATCCGACTATGAATCCCTGTTGCAGGCAGTGAGACGTCGTGAAGATGTGAGAGTGTGTCATTTTTGGAGCCGATCCTTTCCAACCCTCAACCCTTTCCATTGAGAAGGCAGCATCGGCATTGCACTGCTGGTCATCCAAGGGAAACACCTTACTGCTGTCTCACCCCCGTCCAGTCAGTCAGTAGTACAAATTCGCCCTCATAGTGTAGCGATCTACGCTAGAATAGTGACTGCTTTTTGTCTAACCACTATCCAACAGACCGTTCTGGTGTGGTAGGATCGCTAGGAAAAAAGCGTGCCGGTCCAAGCAACGACGGTATCATATAAAAACAACTATACTAGTTACAAAGTATTTCAAGAAAACACTGAATCAGAGCCTATTACAAGACAACCAACACTTTTAAGAATGCTTTAGTTTACTTGACACATAGAATCTCTTTTACCTCCACACAAAATTGTATCTACAGATTAGGCTGCGTCGATTATGGTACTTATTATATTGGTGAATCATCCCACGAAATCCTCATTCGTGTTAAACAGCATGCAAGCTACACAAAATTACCTTCAAATAATCCTGTAGAACTGGAGAATTTACAAAGCAAATCAACAATGGCGTTTCATGTCATCTTTTATAGTCACAGAATTGATATTGAAAACATCAAAATTATTCAAAAAGGTTTTTCAAACTACAAGGAACGATGGACAGCTGAAGCACTTCATAATATGAAGAACCATAATGCACTCGAAAGAGGGAGAAAAGACTCACTAACCAATGAACTAGGACAACATATCAGAAATAACACGTTAAACATACTAGTCATAACTAAAGTACATTTACACAAACTGAATTTTTCATCTATAGTACTTTTATCATCTTTACAAACATTCACACGTGCACACACATTCACATCTTCACCTTGACCTCATAGACTAAATACTGATAACGATGTCACCTATTCCCACATTACTATCATGTATGAACAAAGTGATCTGATTTGTCGTCATTGCCTATTTAAATATGTGATAACTTGTACATATTCTATTCGCTGAAGAAGCGGCTTCCATGAGGTCGGAAAACGTCAGAAATTTTTTTCTACCTCCTAGGGGTTTTACAAATATATTTCATTGATAATCCATTTGCCCAATGCTCAAATTATTCAACTCTAACGCAGCAAAACTTGAGCCTAAAGTCTGTGATATACGAAATAATACTTCAAGTCTTTAGTGGAATACCATCTATACAAACTGTCAATAATCGGAATAACAACAACAATCATAAATAGGTTAGATAACAAAGTTGATTAAAGGTTACGCTACTACTACCAGTAGTCCTCAGCAGATTTTTCTTTGCATCATGGAAAATTTAGGCGTTTTTGTCGTTTCATTACAGAGTGAGTGTTTTGAGGACATCGGTGATTACATAATACTATGTGAGCTTCTCATGTTGTACATTTCAAGTGAAGTCTTTCAACTTTATAGTAGAGAAAAGAAAATTCCTAGGGTATCTCACTGACTGATAAAATCAAAGTAGAACCTCCCACATAGGTGCATCAGCTTAAGTTGTCACACCTCACAGTAGTACACAAAGAACAGGTGGATAGAAAAGGAGTGATAACAAACTACAAAAAGTTATGTGAGAGAATAAACAGTCTGCAGATAATAGTTAGCGCTAATATTCAAGTTTTAGGAGATATTAAGGAGCCATTACATTCGTGCCACCGTGACCGGTTTTCAGCCATGTCACCAACTGTCCTCTACTACTAATTCCTTTCGTCTCCGGAAACCCGACCAGATAGTCTACATCTCTCCACGCGACTCAGACCGACAGTTAAGGACTTGATCCATTAGTGACACATCTTGATCTCGCCACCCTAAACCTAACCCTATTTCCCTTAGAATGGCACGTCGATGTAGACGGTGGCTCGACATGTACAGTACATGTCCTAGCCAGATACCTCAGTCAACTAAGACTTACAACCTCTTTAATCGACTTGCCTGTCTTGTCTAGCACCCGTTGCCTGATCTTCACGCTGCTCACATGTTGATTCCACCAAACGCGAGCAATACTACGAAGACATCCATCATTAAAGCCCAGTAATCGCTCCATGTATTCTACTTTGAACGGCAATGTCTCGTCTCACAGCCGTATAACAAGACAGTGGATCGCAGAGCAGTATACTTATCCTTTGATAGATAGTGGGATATCTTGCTAAACGGCACCACAGGTGATACAGGTTGGCAAATGCCGTACAGGTTTTCTGTATCCCAGCTGAGATTTCGTCAGCAACCAGCCTGTTTGGGCTTATGCAACTCCCCAAATAAGTGAGGTGGCCGATATTCCACCACTTCTCTTCATATCGTTAAACTGGGGGTATTAATCAACTTGAACGTGGGTAGTTATAACTTGGATAACGTCCCTAATCAGGGCAGCATAGTTATAACAGATATTCCTAAGTACTGATCAGAGAAAGATGTAATGGAAAATCAGTGGATAATATTTCTCATCCGCCTTGAAGAATTAACTTAAGCTTCTTCACCAACTAGACTAAATAAATTTAGTCCAACTGCAATCATCTGCATAGTACAGAGATAACTGAAATCGCCACTAGATGTAAACGTTTTTTTAACCTGAATCACATGATTTCATTGGTAAGTTCGATTGTACTTCTTTCAAGCAGCAAAAAGTATTTACTTTTCAATAAAGAATAGTTTTTCAACAAATTTATAGCCAAATATTGAGGTCAGAGCAACACAGATGATACTCAAAGCCTAACTAAATAGAAGTATGAGAGATAACATTACCAGTAAAACACACCCAATAGTACATTTATCTGTATGTTTCCTGTAGAAATTGTACAGAAATAATGAGCAGCCACAGAATAAAATAAGTACAAATTATTCTAAAATACTATTGACATTTTAATTCACTTGGAACGTAAACCGTGTGCTTTTTACACAAGAATTACTCTATTTTCATACATTTCATTCCCTTGACAAATATGAATGAAGTTAGAATGAACAGATTTGCCGAACAAAAAATGATGTCACTTTATCTCACGGGTTTTCATCAGTTGCATACAACTTCTCCTTGAATCTTTATTTGTTTGACAACAGTTTTATGCATTTAGAATTATCGATCCAACACCATATCTAAATTATTATGTCTCGACAGAGTAAGATATGAAACGCACTACTGGAAATTGTACAAGGATGTGTTGTATTTAAAGTTTTTCCTTATATGAAGTGTGGTGTTTTAAACCACAGTATACTACCTAAATGGACAGAAATTAAAGTAACGAATACAGCCATCATCAACACAGAATCAGACATTACCGCATGACGATTCAACTTGCTACACCTTAAATTACTTCAGTAAGATAGAAGGCAGTAAGCTGAAAAGCATAGAAATATGAAACATATACATGATTAAAAGCTGTAGGAAGTTATAAGAAAATAAAAAGAAGAGGTAAAACAGTAGAAAATGTGATATGATTAACATGAGGAAATGGTTTGGATGTATGCACACAACTGCGATCGATTTTCAACCGTATCATCAAGATTCTATAACCATCAGTTGTGGTTGTCGTGTGGATCCTAACCAGGAAGTCTACATCCCCCTACACGCCTCACACAGACAGTCAGAGACTTCATGAACTGGTTGAAAGTTTTATTCTGATCACCTTTGACCATCCCCCCCCCCCGCTAAAACTAATTCGGCTGCCACTGTGCGTTGCAGTAGACGATGAGTAAGCTCGCATGATACATGTTTCAGTCGTCTGAGATGGTGAAGTTCACAACCTTATCAACTGAGTGATCTCTTCTCTTTAACATTTTACATTTGACTCCTGCATTACTGATGTGGTGACATCACGACCTGCGTTACAAAGCCAATGGTGATTAAACACCTGAAGCTTCATGGTAGATATAATTTTGGACGAAGTGAAAAGCAGCGCAGCACACTCAATCGTTAATATGCAATCCGATATCACCCTGATCACTAACCCACCTGAGCTAGTCAGACTTTCCGAGTAATCAATCACTTAAATTCCTACTTTTAGACCATGTACAAACGTAGACAAGTTCTGGGGCAACGATTTGAGTTTGAATGGTGAGAAACGCATTCCAAACGTTCTAAAATTGACATTAAATGTTTCCGAAAGATTCAGCATCGTGTCAGCATCTTCACCTAACAGGACCATGTCATCGGAGTACTCGAGATCTACTAAGGCTCTTGAGACAAGTCTAGTCATTAGCACGTCTATGGCGAAGCCATATGAAAATGAACAGAATGAATACCTTTTGCAGTGCTTGAATATGAGACGTTCAGTAGTGTGATGTACTTGACCGGCATATGTTTGAATGACAGATATCAACAGTCAGACGGTCCCTTTAGACAGAAACATAGCTAATGTCACATACCAGTAAAAAGCCTGTATTTCAAGATATAGCGGGTTTTGGTTTCCGAGTTATACTTACACATGTCAGTTTATAAAAACCTAGCATCTAAGAAACTGCTTACTATGTAGCTATCAATAGAGGATTTCTCTCCTTCCTCGAAGACTGAAAGTGTCGGTGATTGAGAGGGGATCATACCTAATTTCTATACGTCAGTTAACACTTCAGTCAACCCCATCAATAATACTCACCCTTGGAGTGATAGATACTAAAGATATTATAAAGAATAGACTATTTCAAGTCATTACAATCATCCAGATGACCCTCAATACACACAGAAAATAAGTGGAACGCTAGAGATTGTGTTCATATGAAACATAACAGTAAATAGCATCGGGAAAATATGTGTCAACAGGAGTTGTCATAATTCACGGAAGCACAGATCCGATCACTACTAAGTCTCATAAGAAAAAAATACACCTCGTAATATAACGCCAGAGCTACAAATGTGCATAAATATAATAAAATGGAATAGAAAAACAAGCTACATTGGTAGTGACATACCTTGACACTGCAAGAGAACCGTTCACTCGTTGTATGATAACTGACCCACCAGCATTTTGTATACGCTGTCTTTCATTTGGATTTACAGGCTTGTGATCCACTGTAGCGAAGGCCACTTTACCTTTCCGAATAAGTATTGCACGGGAATCTCCGCAGTTGGCAAAGAAAATATGTTTAGGTGTAATAAGTACGCAGACAGCAGTAGACCCTGATCTATCTTCTCCACTGGCAAGTTGAGGAAGATGGCGAAGACGATCATCTAACGATAAGAAACCATCTCGAATGCCACGCTCCACCTCTTGTAAACTGGGTGCGAGGTCAGGATTAATTTTTTTGAACTCTTCAGTATCAACGATGCACTGACAAATTAAAAATATTAGTTGATAAAAGAAGACAAAAAGGTGATTTAAACACTTTCCACAGTCCACATATAATTTGATTAAATTCATGAAAGGAAATACAATAAGTAAACTTCTGCATAAGACCTAAATACTAAGTCTAGGCTCTTCTGTTTAAGTAAATTTCGTCAACAAAAAGGATGACAAGTGAAAACGATAACATTAATAGAAGTAGTAGTAGCAAAAATCTACAGGACTAAGAGAAAAGAAAATGAAATAAAGACACATTGTAACACTTTTAAAGCTGAGATGAAAATAAATCATGGATACACTTGTGTAACTAAGATCGGTTATATCGAATTGCTTACAGTCTGACCGACTCAACAGCTAAACATTTCATCAACTAAAGTCATCTTTGGATACGATCTACTCTCGTTAAAACAGTGGTTGTCGATGCAGGCAGTGACCAGACACAAGTGACGTAACCCAGTCATCTTGGCCGGTGTAGGTGCACAAACCAGCTTCCTTCACTGAAACTCGACACTACTCATTGTGGTTTTGATACAGAGAAGGGTTGGGGTCCGCAGGACACGAGGAACCAGTGGCTGGAGACTAGGGATTATGGCTCAAAACCGATGTCAGTGGCGCAGATGTATACACATATTATCCTCATCTTAACGACGCTACACCGAATCTCACCATTTTGTCACTCCTCTTTCCTTTCTTCTCGTACTTTATATTTCTTTTGACTGCATTCTCTTATCCTCATCCTTCACCTTACTACCTTTCTACTTGATGTACTGATATGACCTGTGGCAACTTGGACCGTTATGCAGCAATGCCTGGTCCTATGTTGATATTGATGATCATGATCATGATGAGAAAGATACTGGGAAAGCATCTATAATCAAAAATCTGTTGGTAGATAATGTTTTCTGTTTTCAGTAATCATGTCTCACAGACGTAAATCTGGACAAAGCATACTGCTAGGCAGCACACTCTAGTTTTGATAGATAGCAGGACACACAAGTGATGATCCAGGCTGATGTCTGTCACGAACGCTCGGTACCCGTCCTGAGGTTTTGCTAGTAATTAGCCGACTGGATTTTAATCTAATGGCACAATGGTAGAAAATACGTCCTGAAACCTGGAGGCTCTGGGTTCGAGCTCAGGCGGGGGCTGAGGTGCGAACTGTTAAGGAGTTCAACAGTAAAACAGAACCTCCGTCCAGTGTTTCAAAATTCTCAATGATTCTCTAAATGGTGTCAGTCCGTGATAAATACTAACTTAGAACTTGGGTGCTCAGGTAGAATGCAATTCCATTTCAGCTGATTTACTAGACGTTTCACAGTAAAAAATATCACCATTATTATTTCATTTAAATACTATTTCACTGAGATACACTGAGTTCACTAAACGAAATGGAGACAAAGAGTGGACACTTGGACCCATTGATCAGTTTCAGTTTAGAAGAGCGAATTTTGAAACATCTGGAAACTAAGACATTAATCGAAAGGTACTTCAAATATATGCGGTTTCAGACGAATATTTTGATAACGCTAAGGGCGGATTAGACTGAAGAAATTGTATGAGTAGCCATTTTCCCAAATCCAGCTGTCAGATATTTACGCTGCTTTTTATATTACGGATAGTCCAAGCTTTTTTGAAGGCTTTAGTGATCCCAAATGGTTGTCCAAACTCTAACAAGTTATGAATTATTTGAAGGTCTGAGAATGAGTTAAACAACCCAGAACCTGAGAGGAATGCATAAATTGCCACATTCTGCCACAGAAAACAATGCAGACAAGAATGAGCAGAAGTGAGAACAAAATACAGCTTAGCGAAAATATTTAAACCATACGGCAATAATATGCACCATAGTGACTGGTTTACCACATCATGACAATGAGTTTTCAAATGTTGATACCGATTATCGAAGCATGAGAAACACGTCCACGTCACCTTAGTCGCTCCAGATTCACATTCATCAACTGACTTCTTTAGTACCCTAGACCTAAAGATGAAATTACTCACAGTGAGCGCCCAACATAGGTGACCAAAGATGAAAAAGCACATGTGATAAATTTTTAACTCCACAATGTCTTCTTTCAGCGACTACATCTCAGCCACAAAATAGGACAGAGTACACTGCAGTAACCCCTCCTAATAGGTAGTCGGATATCTAGTCGACACTAGAGATGATACAAGTTGCTAAATGCTAAACGGATCTTCGGTTTCGGAGCTGATGCAACTATCCAAGTAAGTGGATTGATCAATGCATTCTACCATTTCACTCTCTATCCTTGAACTGAGAGTAGTTGTAGACCGGTCATAAAGGATCACTTGGAATTTCACGATGGATGCGAAACGCAACCCCAACATACTCAGGTTCTACGTTGATTCTATCTGTCTCTCTGTTTGTCAGTCAGTCACATACTCAGATCTCTGCTTATGGCGTTCCGAGGACTGCATTTTTATAGCGTCTTTATCTAACGGGACAATGTCATCTGTGTACTCCAAGACAATCACATGCCTTTCAGGGAGTAAGTTAATTCCTCTAAAGCCGGAGGTACTTGAGGTTGTGTCTAACAAATGAATCTATAAACAAGGAGGGTGATAGTGAAATTCCTGGAGGATGACAGTGGTTGTCGTTAACTCAGATGAAAACTCCTCATCAACGTTTACGCAGCTTTGAATTGGGTTACATACTCGCTCATTCTTCCCTTCAGTTAAGCACTCCGACAACTCTTGGTTGGGTGAATGAATGGTGAATGACTGGTCTGGACAGTTGACTTTCAACTGAGAGGTCACGGGCTTAAACACCGCCCCATCTACTGAGATTTGGGTAGCCAGATAGTGTCAATAGACCTCATACAATTGGTGTGGCTCATTGTCCAATGCACGAATATGCACAAGATTGCTGAGAGCATTTCGATTTTTGTTCCGACGACTCTCGGTCGAGAGTGAAATGTCACTCCAGGCCAAAAATTCAGCAATTAACAGCCGACCGTAAGCCTGCACGTGCTACATATAGGTGAACGAAGATTTGGTAGATACACCCTTGGCCTGGTCTAAAACCTGTTCGGTTTCTTCTAGCGCGTCAGATAACTGAACCGTAGCATCTTGGACATAACGTTAGTCAAGCCAATTCCCCTATAAATGTCACAAGACTTCTCTTTCTTCTTACAAACTGGTATAAAATAACCATTGAATCAGCCTTCGCTGTCTTCCATACTTTGCCCAACTCATCCATCAATCTACTCAGTGATTTTCTACCTCCATCCTGGGAAACATCTAATAAACTCCAGAGTCCTGCTACTTTCCATCGCTTCACATTTAAAACAACCTGTTCTACTTCGAAAATTCATGCCACCAACATTTCTCCCACTGAGGTGCAGTTTGGATCCTGAGCAACTGTAGGACAGTTGTCGGTTAGTTGAACCGTGCTTCAGTAACGTCTCAGATGCCTGTCCCGAGACGTTATCCATTCTTTCCAATAATAGTCTCTAATGACCACTGTCCTCTTGCCAGCATCCTTAACAGGCTCAAATAATTGTGAAGTGTTAACCAATGCTGATGCCTATCCTACATATCACTAACGGGCGATACTTGTAGTACTTTTGACCTGAGTGGTAAAATTCTGTCGACCGACAGCTATGGCAGTACCTAACTGTCAAGAAAATATTTGAGCCCGTGACCTCTCAGTTGAAAGTCAACTGTCCAGACCAGTCATTCACCATTCATTCACCCAACCAAGAGTTGTCGGAGTGCTTAACTGAAGGGAAGAATGAGCGAGTATGTAACCCAATTCAAAGCTGCGTAAACGTTGATGAGGAGTTTTCATCTGAGTTAACGACAACCACTGTCATCCTCCAGGAATTTCACTATCACCCTCCTTGTTTATAGATTCATTTGTTAGACACAACCTCAAGTACCTCCGGCTTTAGAGGAATTAACTTACTCCCTGAAAGGCATGTGATTGTCTTGGAGTACACAGATGACATTGTCCCGTTAGATAAAGACGCTATAAAAATGCAGTCCTCGGAACGCCATAAGCAGAGATCTGAGTATGTGACTGACTGACAAACAGAGAGACAGATAGAATCAACGTAGAACCTGAGTATGTTGGGGTTGCGTTTCGCATCCATCGTGAAATTCCAAGTGATCCTTTATGACCGGTCTACAACTACTCTCAGTTCAAGGATAGAGAGTGAAATGGTAGAATGCATTGATCAATCCACTTACTTGGATAGTTGCATCAGCTCCGAAACCGAAGATCCGTTTAGCATTTAGCAACTTGTATCATCTCTAGTGTCGACTAGATATCCAACTACCTATTACTGCAGTGTACTCTGTCCTATTTTGTGGCTGAGATGTAGTCGCTGAAAGAAGACATTGTGGAGTTAAAAATTTATCACATGTGCTTTTGTATCAGTGCTCAACTATGGTGCATGTGTGTAACCTTAAGACTAGGCGGACCTTCAGCGACCTGGGTGACTTGGACATATGAAGGAAATGCTGAACCATTGACTATCTCGACGTGACATGTTCTACGGAGTTGAATGAGTTTGGAAGAGTGCTAATGGTGGCCAGGCCAAGACTTGAGTTGAATACGTGGAATATTAAATCGTCTCATCGAACTAAAAGCATGTTACTTATCATACCGAAACCGTTGGTATTGACATGTTATTGTTAAGTGTAAAAAAACGGAAAGTGAAGCTGACCCCGTTGAAGTTCTTCAGCTTACTTTGAGTAAAAGAACCATAACCTGTTAGATGACCCGGAACAAAATGATTTTCGATTCACATCACGTTCTCAATGATAAAGAAACTTTTACCAGAGATAATAGTTGGAGTGAAGAGAATTTTTACACACTTTCGAAGAAAACAGTTCACTTCCTTATAGGCTTATGGAGGAAGTGAAACTGGTGAGTATCTTAATGAATTATTGAATCAAACTTAGTTCACCTTTGCTAAGCACTCACACCCCATTTACAGACATCTTTCTACATCTTATATATGTATATACAATGTCTACTAATACCACTGACAAGAAGTATTCTCCATTTCAGAAACTGTCGTATGCGGCCTCCCTTAAATTAGTTAGTTACAGGAGAGATATTACTTTTACTAGTGACAGTTTGAAGACCAATCAACCATGAAGTGTCACGGTAAACCGTTAACCGCTATTTTACTAGCAACTGATAGATCCACATGTGTGCTTAGAAAAAGGCAGCAGAGATTCTATGGACAACGGTATTTTATAGAAATTAGGCACCCTGCATTCAAAGTCAATGGTAGTTCAAGGCTAGCTTCGGCTACCTTGTAGCCAACTTACGACTTTCAATCCGAACTGCGCCCTGATAAAAGACCAACTGACTGCGGCTTACTGGAAAAATGTTAAGAATAAATAAATAAACATGTGCAGAGAGGTCTGTTATAGCTTCGAAACCAAACAAAAGTACTCAACAAACCTTTAAGAGCTCAGTAGCACATAGCTCTGACACTAAAGCACCCGCGTGACCATCAAAAACTGCAAAAAATGACCAATCTTTCAGATTTCCTGGGAGTTGTGTTATGGCACAATGTGCATCCTCCATTGAAAGACGCCAGCCTTGCATGCTTGATATACCGTATCGTAATCCATTGCCACACCCAGTTTCATTATACTTATCGGTCTTTGGCGAACCCAAAAGTCCTCCCATTTTTACAATGGCTTTGTGTCAAGCCTCATATACGTACCGCTCAGATTCAAAGACGTTCGAAATGACGTACAATGTCTCAATTGTATTCCAGAAATTCTTCATCTGAAGTACGTCAATCTAAGTACTCGTTGTCTCCGCCGAGAATTAGTTTCCTACTGAGGCAAAAAGGTTCGTGATAACATATTTGGTGGTTGAATTATCCAACCAGTGTCATAATTGTTTTTCAGGGCGCATGTCACACTATAAGGTTCGGCCATCTGGGATGGACAGGACTTTCTAGTTTATAAGCCAGTTGACAGTTCATCCTTACATGCCTACTGAACTTATTACTTCACGTTTATTTTCCGTTTTCTTTTTCCTGTAGATTGTGCTGATCTGTCAGTGGACCTCAGGAAACTTTCAGCGTAGCGTCACCTCTCGAGAATCAATAACCTAGAGTTCAACAAGATTCAACATTGATGCTGACATCCATAGTTTTATCGGACCCTCTGAGTTGGAGGTACACGGCCAAGCATCCAAGCCACGCTGTCATGTTACGTTGTCATGCCTGTAATCGACCATCTAGCTATCTAGTCGAGAGGCATCGGTGTCACAGGACGACCTCGCAAATATACTATTCCTTCCGACTACGCTATCACGTTCTTTCTTGGTCTCCTACTCGTGGGTATAAACCAAGTGTGAATAGTTAGCGGTTGGCCCCTGCGTCTGTCAAGTTCGCAAGAAAACAATTTCTAAATTGGTGGGCCCGTTCGTTCTTAAACTTGCACATCGTTTTCATTTCGATAACCTTCATACATCAATGTACAACTCCTTACCGTGTCCGATTATACTGTGAAGATTATCCGTATTAACCTGACGACAAACACCATCTAGCAGATTTTTGAGAACAGAGAGTAGCGGATCCATATTCTCGATTTCCCGCTGTCACACTGTCGTCACTGCGGGAATTAAACGAACACGTCACAGTGCATGTGTTTAGCCCTATAATAAATGACCCCTATGCACTTCTCCATTTCTGAAGAAAAGTGATCTAGAGCGATTACCAGCGCCCAGACGAATCTCTTCGTCACATCCAGCTAGGCAGCAACTTAGCCCCTGAAGTCCTCGCACGCGCACGAGAAGTTATGGGCCCATGAAAGTTCAGCAGTTGCCTTTTCAGAGAACTGTTTCGTTCGAAACTTTCACAACTGGTGCCAGCATGTTGGTTACACTTCAGTCGGTTCCACTTGGTGACTTGGCAGCTTCAGCAGTTAGAACATTGGAGATCTCTAGCAGACTCCCCTCAAGTGTATATTCTGTCTGCGAAAAACCGGAGAGCCGGGATTCAGAAGTAACCGAGCTGTGCAACTGTTAAACAGCTGCTACGAACATGATCGCCTAGGTTACGCAGCACATCACAGAAACAGGTTGGAAAGCCGTAAATGTTGTTGGTTTCACAATACCTACGGGGCCTGAAAATGCAGGAAGACATGCAGTTTCAACTCAGATAAAAGCTCAGGAAACTGCTCCTCCGACGCGAGTTCACGGCAACCCTATCCGGCGGAGAAAGCCGTTTGTTGTACGTCACCGACATGCAAAGTTGGCGTTCTTCCAGCACCGACGAAAGAAAGACATCATGACCCTTCTTTCACCCTTAAGGCAGCTAACGGCAAGACAATCTCGACTCCTGGGAGACAGTATGCCTACCTCAACTTAGGTTTACGTAAGTCTAGTCTGTGGATTTTCCTCTCGGCTGATGTTTTTCTGCCCATCATTGTCATAGGTTTGCTGAAACATTACCATCCACTCGTAGATGCAAGTCGTCAACAGCTGACGGGTAACGACATGAAGTTACAACGGCTGAAGCACACCCTTCCGAGCAAAATCAACAATGTTATGCACCACGCCACAACCACAGGTCAGCCTGTGGCCCCTGATAAGCTCAAAACGGCGAAAAGTGAGCCCGGCCGCATGCACAAACTGGGAATTATGAAACCTCCGAGCAGTCCCCGGGCATCGCCAACGGATATGGTTTGCAAAAAAGGTAGCACAATTGTCGAAATTCTTGACGATGCGTCTGGTAGTACGCAGATACAACAACCACCGGTGCAACAAAAATACCATCAGGTCGAACCGTCAGGTTCTTGGATTATTTGGAGATATATTTTAACTAAGCGTGCGAGTTAAAATGTGACAGCTACTTTTAAATACAAAGTTTTTTGAGGCATCGCTTTGTTTTTGCTGGGAATGCGAAAATTTTCCCACATTTTACCTCCTTTATACTGATTTATTTGGAACCCCGCAACTGTACTTTATCGAAAATCAAAATAGAATTCGTCATAAAACCTATGCTCAGTATTTCTGTCTATAAATGCTCCCCATTCTCATAAAAAGTTTTCGGGATACTGAAGATTTTTGCTCCTGTCCCAGGTGCAACGGGCACCGAATGGAACGACGAAGGACCCTGGGGATTGCGATCGACGTACAACTCAATTTATTGTTTTTTCTTTCTCCACGTCACCCTAGCATAAGTTCAAACAACTAGGGGCCACTTTGCATAGTGAGCTCATCCGGAGAGTTTTACCAGAGGTGAAACCACTGGTGTTTGTCTTCCGGGTGGTATTCTCTCAGGTTCCTCACGAACCCACTGGGTTTGGAGTGGCCTGTTGTGTCACACAAGTTTCTAAAATCAACAACCTGGGCTTGACGAGATGAGGGCACACAGTGAAGTATCCACGCCATTTGACGCGTTGTCACGTTACGTTGCATCGCTGGTATGCGATCCTGTACCTTACTGATAGCTTTTTCGCCGATATTGTAAGCTCAAGAACTCACGTGCAACCCAACTACCATTAAATAGACAATCCCACGATCCAGTCAGCCCGATTCTGGCTAGACACCGCAGAAACACGGTTTCTGTGTTCCAAAGCTGACTTTCGAGAGCAAGGAGTAACAGATCCGCATTCTTGACTTTTTGATGTCAAACGATCATTACGGCGGAAATTAAACAGGAGCGCTGCATCGCGTATGTTTATTCCTGAAGTAAGTGTTTCATACGAACTGCACATGGCAGTAATTCTGAGGAAAAACGTCCTCACAGACTGTCAATGTTTAGACGAATTGCTACGTAACATCGAGCTAGGGGCGAGTTTAGCTATTCACGCGCTGGCAAACATGAGAAAACTCATCGGTAAACGAACGTTCGGTGACCGTCTTTACCGTAAACTGTTCCTTTCGAAACTGCCGTAGCCGACGCAGCACGTGCTAGTGACACTTTAGTTGGCTTCTATCGACAACTCATCAGCCTTGGATGATAAAGCTCCGGTGATAACAAGCAGACCTGCCCCAAATTGTTTTCTGGTGTCCAAACACCTAAGGGTTAGAATTCAAAAGTGACAGAGCCATTCAGCTTCGCTAAGCGGCTTCCACAGTCCCAAAGCTCTAGCCCATGACATACAACACACCATCGTGTTCCATCCGGTCGCAGCTAGGTCCCACACAGTCAAAAATCCTACCGGTCGTTGGTTCCATAACACCTGGAGTGTAGAAGCCGAATGCTGTAGAAATTCGTACACTATCCATAAAGACTGCAAAAAACCTGCGAACTGCCCCTCGGTGCGTTTTAACGTTGACCATGGCCGGCGGAAAAAGACGTTTATTGTACGTCACTGACGTGAAAACCAAAGCCAGTTGCCTCGTTGACACCGTCGCAGAGGTTAGCGTTCTCGTTATCGCAAACAAACGTCATCGGGAGCTATCCTTTAATCTAAAAGCGACTGACGGCAAAGCGATCACAACATTTGAAAAAATATATACCTACCTCAACTCGAATCCTTCCTTCAGCTGATGGTTGCATGCCCGTAATTAACATGGGTCTGCTGACTCATTGTGACGTACTCGAAAATGCCCATTGATGGCGACTGATGGATGACAACACGAAGCTTTATACTGACTGAACCATCTGTGAATGTCTGAGTTCAGCAATAGTTAAGGCGAAGAACACAGCCAACTTCTCCTATCGGACAGTGCTAGGCGAATATCAAGAGGCGAGAAAGCCAAACTACGCTCTGTCGTGCACAACCAGCAATGATCTGCATCGCAGTCACAGGTCCTCCTGTGGAATTCAAGGCTCCCTGTCTAAACCCTCATAGGCTCAGGGCGACAAAAAGCGGGTTAGGTCACGTGTTTGAGCGGGCAACCCGTAAACCATCAAGCAACCGCTAGAGATCGCTTTCGTATATGGTTCTCTAAAAGGATAACAACGATCAGCATCCGACCAGCTATTACTGACGGTTTAACGCTAAAACGACGCCAGATTGGTACCTGCTGCAATTAAAGATTTGACCGTGACATTATACGGGGTGGGCGTATTCTCAATCATCAACTAGGTCAATCACATACACATGGGAGAAGATATCTCAAAAACAACTATTAGAACACCTCCGGGATTTCTGTTCAAGCACTCCGGTTTACGAAAAGAAGAACAAACATTCCCATGCTTTACAGGTAATCTCATTCATGGTTCCAGATGGGTCTATGCATACATACGACTATCTCGTTGTCATTCCAGATAATAGAAATGATATGTTTTATAACACCATAAGTTACATAAATACAAACCAGTTTACCAGTTCAATCATTTTGTTAATCTGAAGTGAATGTTATGTACAGTGTCAAGCCATACATCAGACACTGTTGTTCAAGGCACATAAGAGATGCGTCTAGAGCAAGAACGTTAATGCTTCGCAGACAGCAAAAAATAAAACAGGTAAACACCAACATGATTGTTCATCACACTGAAGCAAGCTTAGTTCGAAAATGGGGAATATTCAGCTGTTGTTTGAATCTTCCAGTATTCTTGAAGGTATGGCGGGTAGCACAGCCATGATCTTGGATTGTGTGCGTTCGTCAAAACGTTCTGGTGGCAGGGTACACACTGACGGATGCGATTACTAGGATTCCATATGGATGGCGGGCTGGTTAGCTAAACCGGAAAGGTGAATAACAAAAGTGAGCTGTGGGTGAACTTCGAAACAGAGGCACCAAAGTACTACACAGAAGTATATCAACCATGATACATTTAGGTGAGTTCATTGTACCGACTACGAAAGTTACTTGAAGAAGTATCCAGAACCAACTGTTTGGAAGTAAGCTTATGGGGAAGAAGATGAAGGTGCATACGAAAGTAGTGGAAATTAAAGTGGAGCCGATGTCA